TAACATTGCATGATCTCGAGGAATTGAGGTACCATTCCGAATCACGTAGAAAACTAAGCCTTTCGCAAATTGGGCTGAATGTACACCACATAATAAATCGTTCCATCACCATTCGTGAATTCATCATTAGATTTCCTGCGTAAAAAACGTGTTACGAATGAGGTTCGCCCTTATTCGGTAACTGTGACGAGTAATCTCCGAATATGCGCCTCCGTAATTTATCATAAAAATGCCAAACCAATCCTTCTAAAATCAAATTCCTATTGAGAATTCTCGAAGCCGTTATAGTCCCAGATAAGATGGCTGTTATGACTGCTACTATGAATGTATCTTCGCCGGTCAGGAACAACCCTGTAATTGAAAAAGAAGAAGTCACGAGGGACAGCAATTCTCGAATGCAAATAATATATGTTTCGTGATTCTTCTGAGCTTTTTCTCAAACCTTCGATTGGTGTGTCAGGTCTCAAGTTTAATGATGCTTCTAAAGACATCTTGTAAGGGGTGAGTGCAAGTTTTGAGTATCCTCCTGATTTTCTGTTCAAGTAGTGGTGAACAGTTACTTCCGTTGCGAAGCTCAGATAATCAATTCGACCCTGTAAACCATAAACATAATTTAAAAAAGGTTGATGGATATTTTCTAAATGTATGGTATTTTCAGTGAAAGTTGCGAGAACATCACTCTATCGATTGGCCAACAAAAGTGGTAGTTCAGGAATTGGTTTGTAAATAATTTGTTTGATTTTTGCTCAGTTATCCACACTGTAAAGCATACAATAGTACCCACACACCGATCGTGAAAAGACCCATTGATTGTTATCCCCATGTAGTAAAACGATTATTGTATTATGAACATGAGGTAGGAGAAAAAAACAAGATAATTTCTCAAACCATTAAGATTTCGTCTTTGGAACATGGAAAAGGCTTCAAACTTTTTGGGGTGCAGTTGCTATGCTGACAACATTTTTTTTAATAAGTGCGAGGGGGAAGGGCTTTATTTCAATGAGCGCCAATATTTTAATATTAGCACATTCAATATTCAAAGAATTATGGCTATTTGAAGATCGGAATTCCCAAAATTAATTTATTACCTACACGCTTTTTGTGATTTCTATGTTCATCCAAATCAAAGTACAGAAAATAACTCGCGTTCTCCAGCTCATCAGAATAAATTTCATGAATGAAATTCCTTGAATGTTCCTTTTTGAAAAAAAAA